GGCTGAGCCCTGCCTCCCCCGGCCGCAGCCCCTGCCCCACCTGCCCACCTGCCCACCTCCCCACCTGCAGGGTGTTGATGCAGGCGCGGATGTCGTTGTCTGTCTTCTCACAGAGAGCCGCCAGCGCACCCGGGTCGGCCTGCATGCCCCGCCGCAGGGAGATCTGCAGGGAGGCGGAAGGGTGGGCGCTCTCTCCCCCAGAAACCCAGCCCAAGGCCACCTCTTCCCGAGAACACAGGTGAATGCAGGGGAACAACAGCTACAGACTCAGGGGCCCGGCCTCGCTCTGTGCTCGAACCATCTACTGCCATTGGGCAAACTGGTCCAGTCACCCCCATGCCCAGGGGTCAGCTAGGGGATGGGGCCTGGATGCAAGAGGGGACCAGGACAGGCGCGGCGTCCCCCCACCCCATAGCTGGCCACATGGCCCCCGGTTGCATATTCCCCACCACAGCCCTCACCCACCTCTTGTAGCCGCTGCACGAGCCTGGAAGACAGTGTGGGCGGAAAGTGGAGAAGAAAGGCCTGCTGCCTCAGCTGCCGCAAGGAGGGCACAAACCTGTAGGGGGCAGACACGGGCACACACCCGCCCCCAAGGGCAAAGGCGGGGTTGGGGGGGGGGATGGTGGGGCGGCACCCTCCCAGGGGCCCTCTGCTCTCCCCCACTCACTGGTCATTGCAAATACAGATGACGGGCCTCATCAGGAGTCCCCCCTCAGCCCGGCGTCGCCGTCCCCCACTTGTGGGAACAGCCGGACCCCCAGACTCTGCTTCTTGCGGGCCCTTGCGATCTAGGATGCTCAGAAGAACGTTGACAGCGGCCTGGGGTATGGGCGGAGGACACGGTGAGCCCCAGCCCGTCGCCGGCCCACCCGCCCACCCACTGGGGCGCCTAGGAGGCCCACCACAGGGGCCCCGTCGATCTCATCGATGACCAGACAGTTGGGTTTCCCGCCAGCACCCAGCACCGACTCCATCTGCGTGGCCGCCTCGATGCACGTGCGGAAGGCCTCAGGGCTGCGGTCGTCACTGGAACCAGTGAGGCCAGAGGTGCGGCCGTCAGGGGAGCGATCGGGGTCCCTGGCAGCACAGGCTCCCAGGACTGGGCCACCAGGCCTACAGCTAGAGGCTACCCTGTGACAGGACCACCCCGCATCCCAGCGAGCCCTGACAAAGCACGAACTCCACCGCCCAAGACCCCGGGACCAAGCCCCACCTCTGGCCCACCACGGTTTCGGGGGAGTCAGAACAGACCGGAGGCCTGGCACGTACCTCGCATTCAACTCCACCACGCAGTAACCAGCTTGCCGCGCAATCACGTGAGCCAGGGTGGTCTTGCCCAGCCCCGGGGGGCCACACAGCAGTGCCACCTGCAGCCGAGACAGGCCGGATGAAGACAGGCTACCACTCATACCACCGCGGAACCCCTGCCCCGCCCTCGAGGCTGAAACTCCTGTCCCGTGAGGCTCGCTCCTAAGGGATGTGCCCCAAGCCCACTGTGGCGAGCACACAAGCACAGGCCACACTCAGCGCACTTGGGTTCCCACCTACCGCTTCAGAGTCAGAGACAGCGCTGCCCGAGCCCAGCAGTGAGGAGATCTGACAGAGACGCAGATGCTGCTAGTGCAACTGACCCCCCAGAAACCACCCGCTGTCGCCGTGAGCGTCCTGGAAAGGTACGCGGTCCTCCGAAAAACAAACTTCGTCCGAGTCTTTAAAGCACACTCAAATTCCAACTCATGTCACCGACGTTCTGTGCCAACACCCTGGCGTCATGACGCCCTCAGCCATGGAGACAGAGGCCCCCAGAGGCTGCAAGGGCGCTGGCCACCCGGAGAGCACAGCCCCCAGGCTCAGAGATGTGTGTGGCACGGCCAGGCGGGGCTCACCTTCTGCCGGGGCCGCCGGCTTGGGTCCAGGTCAGCCTCTAGCATGTCCTCTAGCACCTGCTCGTGGCTTTTCCATTTGCTGGAAGTCGTGGCCTCCTTGCCACCGCGGGCCAGCTCTAGACCGGGTCTGGGCCTCCTAGCAGGCCTCTCTCGGCCGAACACCACCAGGTCCCACAGCTTCAGCCACTTGAGGAGGCAGCGGTTAGTGAACTGCGGGACGGGAAGCGTGGCCTGGAGGAACCGCCAGCACCGAGGACTCCCCGTGCCCGCCCTTCACGTCAGCCTGCTGTCCCAAGCCCCGAAAGACACACGGGAATGTGGAAGCTAAGGAACAGGTCACCCTGCTGGTGAGTGACAGAGCGAGGCTCGCACCAGGACCTCCGTCCCTACCACCCTAACTCCGTCAGGAGACCCCACTGTCCCGCGTGTTCCAGCATCAGCTGCTGGGACGGTGGGGAAGGAAACAGGCTGCAGGCAGGGGGAGCCCTGGACCCCCAGCCCAGGTCGCAGGTGACTTCCAGAATGCCAGCCCCATGCTGGCCTCAGCTTCCCCACATACAGCTCCAAAGCGCAAATCCAAACCCTCTCTACCCTCCCAAGGTCCTTCAAGCTGACAAGAACAACCTTGGGGCAACAAAAAAATCAGTCACGCTTGAACGGGAACAAGAGAACGAGGTCTCACGTCATCGCTGAGAAGCTCCGTGTAGCACCGCGGTGCGAACTCATCCACCCAGAGGCAGTGCTGGGGGTCGTCTTGGCTGTCAGCCAGCTCTTCCTCAGGGGCCCCCGAAGTCTGGACCTCCTCTCCCACCTCCTCAGAGCTGAGGCTGGAGAACATCATGCCCTGAGCTGCCGGGCGAGTAGAGGGACTGCACACCCCCCGCCGACTACAAGCTGGAGATCAGCAGTCCAAGAACCGGTAAGGGTCCCAGGGCTGGAAGGGCCCACCGTGTCACCTGCGAAGCGTGTCTGAGAGCTGACGGGCCTCCTCAAGCAGTTGCTGCCTCCGCTGTGCAAACAGCAGAGACGGGATCAGCGTGTCTCCAGCACGCAGTCACCCCAGAGCTACCCTTCTCCCGACAAATCCCACCTCACTGTCGACCTGCTCCTTCAGGGACGCGAAGGACACACCCAACAGGTCCAGCTGGCCACGGCCTCGCCACCGGATATCAAGGAAAGGGTTCTGTAGGGAAACGAGGACACCATTTGTCATCTCTCAGAACACAACCACCCACAGACCTTCTCTCGTCAGTGCTCAAGGACCCAGGTGGCGTTTTCTACTGACAACAGACCAACGCAAGGACAAACCGCCTCTCCAAACAAAAATCCTAAAGAGAAAATGCACTGGGATGGAGATAGCTCTAAAGAAAGAAGGTAAAGGTTAAAACATCAGAGAAAGGGAAAAAAGACGCCACAGGAAGGGGACAGTGAAACAGGCCCTCACAAGCGGATGACTGCAGGTCACGTGAACTTCCTGAGGGGTCCCCAGGGTCTGAGGGTTAATATGAGGTCTAGGACCCTTTCCTGGACAGCACTGAGCCCGCCAACCCTGCAGGAAGGCTGTTGCCAGCCTCTCACCCCCACTTGTGGCCACACAACACTCACCTGCACCCCTGTGCCCACGGGGTCACCCCGCAGCACCAGAAAAGCCCGGCAGCCACTAGTGGAGGTCACACTGACATAGTCCTCCAGGACAGGGGGCCGCCTCAGGACAGGATTTCGAGCTGCTGGAGAGGCCTGAAGGGGACCCACGTCAGCACCAGCATCCAAGGGCCTAGGAAGGGACAAATGCTGACCTGGGGACACTCACCTCCTGTGACCATGCCAGGAGAAACTCAGATCCACTCTTGACTATACACCCCTCCCACACACACTCAGCCCCAAGCCTCCCAAAACCTGGGACCCTCCCAAAATCCCTGGGGCATCTGTGCCCCAAGCCACACACCCTTTGCCCCACAGTTCAGGGGGGATCTCCGGACTCGGTGGCGGGGTGATGTCCCCAGCAGGCGAGTCAGGAAGGGGCGGCTCTTCCATTTGCTCAGGTCTGAAGTTCAGCTTCTTCACGACTTCCAGCCTGAGCCGTTTGACCCTGGGGGCTGGGGAGAAAGTCGAAAGTTTCAGAAGCTCTTGCCAAGCCTCACATCCCACCCGTATGCCTTGGGGCTCTGAGGACATACTGGGGGGCAAGGCCCCGTCCCTGGGGTCATGATCGGCCAGCTGCCTCTTCCTGGCACTGCTTTTGTGGTTCCCTGGAGGTCCGCCTGGAGAGCAATGAGTGGCAGCGTCCCCTCCAGCAACGGCCTCCTCCTCGAATGTCAGCCGGGACCGACACACTGCGGGCCAGGGACCCCTGGAGGGCGACGGGGCGGCTGTCCCTGCCGGGAGAGAAGGTTGACGGCAGCGGCGCCAGGTCAGCCTGTACAGGCAACAGCTCCCGCGGCCTGGGGCGCTGGAGGGCCCTTCTCGCTCCGATACGCCCCCGCCTGAGCTCGCTCCAGCCTCCGGGTCCCCGCCGCCTCCCCTCCTCCGACCAGCCCTCCAGGACTAGGGGGACGAGGCCGAGGCGGGGCCCACGCCCACCTTCCAGCTCGGCCAGCACCTCGAGCTCGGCCGCAAACTGGCTGTAGAAGTCGTCCTGGCCGCCCCCCAGCTCGCGCTCGGGTTCTCCCATGGCGCCCGCTCCCGCGGCACCAACCAGCCGCTCCGAACCTCCCGCGCGGCCGCCGGTGCTGCGCGCCGTTCCCGCCCCTCGCGTCCCGGCGCCGCCAATCAATGGCCGGCGTGCCCGGCGCCTCTCGCCATTGGCCACCGGGAGGAGCGGGGCGGAGGCGGGGCTGCGCGCGCAGGCCGGGCGGGGCCGAGCCAGCGCCGTGGCCTCGGGCGCTCACCATTGGCCGGCATGCCCACCTGTCTGCGACGAGGGCGGGGAGAGCGCCGGGCTGAGCAGACGCGCCGGAGTCGAAGCGGAGGTCTCGGGCGCTCACCATTGGCCCGCACGGCCGCCCGTCCGGGGCGTGCGCGGGACGTGGGCGGGGCGTGGGCAGGGCTGCGCGCTCCGGTAGGTCCCGTGAGGCGCGGCTGCGGGGTCGCTGGGCCGCCAGGTGCGGGGACGTAGTGCTGGAGCCGGCGCCCGGCAGCTGCCTCGCGGGCCGGGGCGGCGCGGCGAAGCTGCAGGTCGGTCCGAAGTAGGGGCGGGGCAGGCTGCGGGAAGGGCTCCCAGAACCCGTAGGCCGGTGCCCATCAGACGCGGGGATCGGGGGCTGCCGGGGAGGATTGTATTTGCTTCGGGGCGGGGGCGGGGGGTGAGGGCGGAGATGGCCGCCTGCCAGCCACGGCCGCTGTGGGGGACCCGGCAGTTCTCTCTGGCCTCCCCTCTCGGCAAGCGGTTCCTATCGCGCGTTGGAGGACTGCCCCGGAGGGGTCCGCGGGGGTGGGCTGAGGCGCGAGACTGCTTCTTCCGGGCTCTGCGTTTGGGTCGGACAACCCCACAGAGCTGAGAAGTGAGAGTAGAAAGGGATCTAGTGCGTGCGGACGCCGCGTCAGTAGCTTCACGCCGGGGACTCTGGAGAACAGGGATGTACACGCCAATTGCGCAGGACGCTGACGTGCGCTGTACTTCCCGTGGACCCCCGTGCGTTGCAGGCACCAGCATGGAAGCAGGCCCAGTAGAGAGCCTGTCGGTGGTGTACCAGAGCCAGGATTTCCTGGTGGTGAACAAGCACTGGGACCTGCGCATCGACAGTAGGATGTGGCGTGAGACCCCCACCCTCCAGAAGCAGCTGCGCCTCCGCTTCCCCGAGTTAGCGGACCCTGACACCTACTATGGGTTCAGGTGTGCAGAGGCCAGGCACTGGTGGCCCCCAGCGGCCTCTGCGGGAGGGAAGTGGCCACCCCCAGTCTAGCCACCCCTGATCCGCTGCCCCATGCCAGGTTCTGCCACCAGTTGGACTTCTCCACCAGCGGGGCCCTCTGTGTGGCCTTGAACAAGGCTGCAGCGGGCAGCGCTTACAAGTGCTTCAAGGAGCGCCGTGTCACCAAGGCTTACTTGGCTCTGGTAAGGCCTGACCGGTCTCCGAGGCAGGGGGCTCCCCAGAAGTGGTGGGTGGCCCCGAGAGCAGCTCGTGACCCTCTGCCTGGCAGGTACGGGGACACGTCCAGGAGAGCCGGATGACCATCAACTATGCCATCGGCAGGAACAGCACAGAGGGTCGGGCTCACACCATGTGCATCGAGGGTACACAGGGTACGCAGGCCAGGGGAGTGGGGTCAGGGGGACATCCCTGGGGACCAGTGGGAGGGGGAGGGTCATCCAGTGAGAAGCCTGAGCGGGCAGGGCCCGTGGAGACAGGTGAGCTGGGCTGGAGTGGATCGGACCCTAGGCTGGTCCAGCCAACCTTCACGCCCTGTCCTCCTCCTCACAGGCTGTGAGAACCCAAAGCCAAGTGTCACCGAGCTGATGGTCTTGGAACACGGGCTGTACGCGGGCGACCCCGTCTCCAAAGTGCTGTTGCAGCCCCTCACGGGTACGTCTGGGGGCGGGGACCAGGAAGCCATCCAGGCCCCTTTGCTGTCTGTTAATGATGTCCCTCGCGCCCCTGGCGTGGTCGATGTCTGGCACCCACGTCTCTTCACACAAGGTGCTGCGGTGTCCCTTCTGTTACGCGTGAGATGAAACGGTGGCACAGGGGCAGAGTGGCCTGCCTGGGGCCGTTCCACTATCTCAGCCCCACACGGGGTCTTGCTCCTGGACGTGAGGGCCTCTGGAAGGCCGGCAGGAGTTCTCCAGCGTGCCTGGCCTTGACCCTCCCGGCAGAGCGACTCTTGGAGTCGACCGCTTCTCTAAATCCCGATGTTCTCGTTTGTACCAGGAAACAGAGAGGTCTGCCATTTTCAGGGGTTTCGTGGGGCTTCCAGACAGCGACAGGACAGGACAGGGCTGGGGCGATGGGGGAGGGGGAGGGGCACGGGATGCCCTCCCCACCCTACCTGTTCCCTCGGCACCCCCACAGGCCGGACGCACCAACTGCGCGTGCACTGCAGCGCCCTCAGTCACCCCGTCGTGGGGGACCTGACCTACGGGCAGGCGTCGGGCCGGGAAGACCAGCCCTTCCGCATGATGCTGCACGCGTTTTACCTGCGCATCCCCACCCACACCGAGTGTGTGGAGGCCTGCACGCCAGATCCCTTCGTGCCCACGCTTGATGCCTGCTGGAGCCCCCACACCCTGGTGCGGTCACTGGACCAGCTCGTCCAGGTCCTGAGGGCTGCTCCCGACCCTGAGCCTGCGGAAGGGAGCCCCGGACCTTGCAGCACTCCCACACCCTCCACCAGGCCCCCCGAGACAGAGGCACAGCGGGCGTCGTGCCTGCAGTGGCTGTCAGAGTGGACACTGGAGCCTGACAACTAAGGGCACCACGGTGGGTGGGAGCGCCAGCTGGGACCACTAGGGGTGGGGGCTTCAGGGGAGAACCCTAGGCCCGTCCCAAGTCGGGGGTGTCCCTGTGTGCGGCGCCCCTGCGGACAGGGACGGAATCCCCTGGCTGTGGCAGCTAGACCTGGAGAGGGGCCGCAAGGCCAGCAGGGGGAGCCAGGCCGCCACGATTCTGGAGGATGAGGCCTTCCTCCAAGCCCCCTCTCCCCCAGGGAAAACCAAGGCCTGCCTTCCCGGCTCCAAAGCTTCATCCCTCGCGGCTTGTTTTTGTAAATTTGCCCAAGGTCTCCCTGCAAGAGGCAGAGGCAAGAGCTGAGCCAGCCTCAGGTTGGGTCCCTCCGGGGCCCCCAGCCCGGGCCTCAGAGCACCTGGTCCTCACCGTTCTCAGAGGTCCTGTGTTGGTCAGCCTAGCCGGGCTGGGCCTCCCCTCTTGCTGACCCTGACCCATCCTCCCCGTGATACTGCCTTGTGCCTTTGCTTCTACCAGACTCTGCCCGTCGGCCCCCTCCTACCCAGATGGCTTGTGGGGAGGGTCTGAGCCACGCCTCTCAACCCTCTCACAATGCCTATGCAGCCAGCAGTCCCGGATTTGGGCTTGGGAGTGAGGACGACCAGCCCCCATCCCCGGTAACACAGCCCCATCAGCCTCCTTGCAGCTGAGCGTCAGGGACTCAATAAATACTCAGTGACTGACCCCGTGAGCAGTCGTGAATCTCTCCAACGTGGGGGATTTGGGGGTCCCGGATCCCTGCCCTCTTCCCTGCATGGGGCAGACCTCTGCCCTAGGTCCCCCAGCAGGACCCAGGATGGACCTCATGGTCCCGGCTGCTGACCTGTCCTCCCCCACCGTGCAGTGAGCACCCCACAGCCCTAGTGTGAGGGCCGGGCTCTGGGTAGAGGACCGAAACTGGGTCAGTCCTGTTCCTGGAGATCCCCATTTCTGGCCAAAAACATTGCAGCGTCCATCTGTTCTCACCAGTTCTTCCTAGAGCTGTGGTCTTCACATCCGCCTTAGGGCCCTTCACCGTCTCAGAGGGCCAGCCAGTCTCCAGGGTCGGGGAGAGCAGGAGGCAGGTGTGACCAGCCGCAGGACACTTGTCTGGACGCACTGGCCTGGGGGGGCCCACGGGCTGGTCCTACAGAACCGACAACAGAGAAGTCAGAGGGCTGGGTATACCTCGTAGTCCCCGAGGTAGGAAGGCATGAGGGTAAGGCACACAGGAGTAGGCACCGTCCTGGGGAACGTTCTCCGTGTGCTGCTGCTCCCCGTAAAAGACCTCCTTGGTGCCTTGAATCCCCCCGGGATCCAGAAAGCCACCCACAGGCCAGGTCTGGACCTTGCTTCCTACGGGTAGGCTGGGAGGTTGTCTCCCACCACCCCGTGGGCCTCTAGGCTGAGACTGCAGAGGCCAGACACGGACGCACACGGCCTGTCTGTCCCCCCCCCCATGCCCTGGCCGTGGGTGGGCAGGGTTGAAGGGTGTGGGGATTGTGCAGGTGCCCCTGGGCAAAGGGAAAAGGAGAGCTTCCTTAGCAAGAGTGGCGGGGCAGGCACTGCTGGTGGGGCTAGAGCATGGGCAGGTCCCCACTGGGGAGCTGCGTGTGCTGGTGGGGCCCCGCCCCCAGCCATGCGGAAGGGCAGCTGGACCTCGGTTAGGCCTGTCCACACCAGGGGAGGGGGGAGCTGTCTTCAGCCGGTCCCTCTAGCTATTGGCACCTTAGGCCCTGGGTCAACACGCCTGCTTGGCGGTGAGGCTGGCTCTCTGGGCACGTGTGGCTCTCCTTGTGGTGCTGATGACAGCAGTTCGGTGGCTGACCCAGCACCGTGGGGTTCCAGGCCCCCGTATCCCCCGGGCCCTGCCCCCCTCAGTTGGGGATAAGCTTCCACGGCACCTCCCACTCTACCTCAGGAGATCCATCCTGGGCCCCAGAGCGTGTGCACCACAGCTCTTTGCCATTGAGGACACCTGCCTGCTGCCTTCATCCCCTCCCGGCCTCACAGCACGCACACTTATGGACACACACGCTCACGGGGCAGAAAGTGCCGCATGCGTGGCTGAACCCAGGTGCCACACTGGATCCACGTGTGCCTGATGTCCCTGTGGGGAACACATCTATTGTTCACATAGTTGTGGCCGCCCCCAGGCACACACGTGTGCACAAAGACAGCAGCACACACGACAGCTGCAGACACGCACGTGTACGAATACACACGTGACCCCGAGGGCACAGACACGTTCCCCAGTGGGCAGGGGTGTGCGTTGGGCGGCTGCCAACCGTGAGCTCAGTCTGTCGCTCCGCCGGGGCCGGAGGGCAGGTGTCTGCTGTGCTCAAGGTCCCCCGGGGCGGACACGGCACCGTCACCTGGCACAGCCCTGGTCTCTCCCCTGCACATCTGCCTGGTAGGCATCGCTGCAGGACTGGGTGGCCAGGCAGGCAGGGTGTCAGGCGAGGCATGGAGCAGAGCAGGGACACAGGTGCCCACCCCCTGCACCAGCCCTGTGCCCCAGGGCTCAGCTGCAGGGTCTGACACACTTGGTGGGCTGGGGTCCCTAGTGGCTGGAGCACCCGTCACCTGGCTTATACCCCCCTGCATTGGACGGCCACCCCGGGGCACGGGAGCAGCCTCCCTCTACAGCAGAAGGTCTCCGAGCCCAGGTGAGAAGTGACGGCTGGGGCAGGGCCACCCGAACCTCAGGGCGCAGGCTGGGAGTCAGTGTCATCGTGGCTCTGGGTGGGGAGCTGAGCCCCTCTGAGCTAACGCTTTGCTCCCTGCAGAGGACAGTAACACCCTGGGTGAAGCGCAATCTAGAAGCCCACAAGCGCCAACACCCTCAGGACCTCCATCTGCAGGCTGGCCAGGGCTGTTCCGGGGCTGTGGTGGGGGTTGTGGCCGGAGGCAAGGTCTGGCTGGGCCTCCAGGTCTCCCTGGAGGAGAAGAGAGCTTTCTAGGCCACCCAGGTGTGGGCACAGGTTAGGGAACCCCTGAAGCTTCAACCCCCAGCTCCCTGCGGGGACCTACTGGGACCACCGCCCCTGCCCTGCAGCTGTGTGGAGATCTGTTTATCGGAGACACCAGAGCCTGCAGGTGCCATGAGCCCTGACCTGCGATAAGGAAGGCCCCGGGGTTAGGGCCGGCCCCCTTCTGCCACTCCCTTTGGTTCCGCAGAGCTTTTGTTTGTGGGGCTGTTACCCTCCCCAAAGACAGAGACACTTGTGGGGCAGCCATCCTGTGTGACCCCAGACTGCAATGCTCTCTCTGTGCCCGGGCCGAGGAGGGCAGGGGACGGTGATGGCGTGGGCCTCATCACGTCCTATCTCCTCTCCAGCTTGTCCTGAACCCACCGCCCGTGACCCCACACCTTCCTGCACAGCCATGGGCCTAAGAGCAGGTGAGACTGCCCCCCCTCACAAAGGGGCACCGTGGACCCTCCGGGGGTGGTTCCCACGGCCGGCTCCTCTTAGGTGGTAGGACCATCTGTGGTCATAGGGACACAGGGAGCCCTGGGCAGACCCTTGACGGATGCCCCCACCAGGCAGGCGCAGCTGTGCCGGGGAGGGGGGGGCGTCAGCCGCTCATGGCCCATTCTGTTCCAGGTGCCCAGGTGAGCCCAGGCCTCGCCCTCCTCATATGGCTCACCGCCCACCGCTCTTGTCCCCAGGCCCAGGGCTTCTCCCAGGGAGGGCTGGATGCCAGCAGGGCTGACCTGTGGGCCAGGTGAGTGCCAGCCCCTCCTGCAGTTCCAACCTACAGGTCACATCCTGGCAGCTGATCCCCTGGTGGGGGGGGGGGGGGGGCGGGAGGGTGCGGCTCCAGGGGCTGCACCTGATGGCCCAGGCGAGGCTGAGGCAGGGCTGCCCCCAGCACTCACCGACCTTGCCCCAAGGTGGCCCAGGTCACCCAGTGTCCTGCCTCATGTCCCAACCACACCCGAGTGGCCAAGAGTGGGTCCCCCAGGCTGTCGCAGCTGGGGCTGGGGCCGCTGAACCCCTCACCTCTCACACTGCTCTCCCGGCCAGAGTCCTCTGGCTTTCTTCCCCTGCCCCGAGGCTTGGCTGCTCTCTCAGGTCCTAAACAGAGACTCGGTAATTCCCAAGCACTGTTCAGAGGGTTCATGCGTGGGCTCAGCCACCCTTCCCTTCCCTGGGAGTCAGAGACCTCTTGTGGACCATCAATCACTGACCAATCAGTGTGCTGATTAGGCAGGGCTGGAGACCCAGGCTGAAGTCCCATGAGATGCCCTCCCCACACACGGATTTTAGTAGACGCACAGCCTGCGGAGCACTCAGCTAGGAACCAGCCTGGCCGTGGTGACACCGCAGATGCCCGGACCACATCTGCCCCAAACACTCAGCCGTTGCTGGGGCCGGGGAGCTCACTCGAGCTCAGAGCCCCCTGGGACCGGGCCCCGGGCGGAAGCACAGACCCAGAGTCCAGGCCGGGGCCATACTGAAGCCCTGCTCATCGCCTGGAGCCTGGGGCCAACTACGTGCCACAGGGGCACAAGTGCGTGCCGAGCAGAGCAGCGGTCTTGCCTGCGCCCAGGCGCCACCAGCCACCCTTCCTGTGTCTCAGCCCCTGGGTGTTGGAGCTGACCTCCCTCCTGTGCACTGCAGTCCGGGCTACACCGCCCGCCCCCCCCCCCCCCCCCCCCCCCCCCACTCACCGCCTGCCTCCTTTCTGCCCAGTGCCAACGCTTCCCTCCTGCACAGCTTCTGGTGCCAGCCGGCCAGCCAGCTGCCCCGGGACCAGCTCTCCGCTCTCATCAGGGCGATGGCGACTCGCCGGGTCCTCCTCAGAGCCTGGCAGGTGAATGGCTGTGGTGGATGGGCGCAGGCTGGGGTGCTGAGGGCAGGGGTGTCCCCAGCACAGGACACGGGCCAGCGGGGGGCCTGTGGGGCCGGGTGGGGGCGAGCTCATGGTGGGGGAGAGAAGGGGGGAGCACTGGGGCCCTGCGGGAGACACCGCCAGCGTCACCACCGCCTGAGGGGTGTCCCTTCAGTAGACCCCTATGCGACAGAGGGTCTGGCCCTCCAGAGGTTGGGCTTTCCCTCCCCTGAGTGATTCTCTGCTGCTGCCCACTTTGGGTCATTTCTAGGGCCTTCTCCACCAATTACCTGCAGACCCCCTGCCTTCTGTTCTTGTGTTCGGGTGAGGGCTTATCCGCCAGGCCTGCGCTGGCCGCTTCCTCCCTCCATCTGTCATGCAGTGTCCCCCTTTGGGACGGGTTCTGGGCCCTGGGCAGATCCCCCAGCCTGCTGGCCTCTCCCCGCGACCCACCACTGATCCAAGCATTGCCCGTCCCTGAGTTTAAAGAAACGGAAAGAAGAAAAGCTACCATTTTGTCTCTTTATAACATTGGTATGAAATTAGTACTGAACTTAGAAGGACCTCAAAGTGAGTCAAGCAACACAAGAAATCCAGGCAGGCGGCCCTGAGATAAATGCCTCTGAGTCACCGTAGTGCAGGGGGGCCCAGGGTGGGGAGGACTCTCGGGCTGGCCTTGACACATCCCTAGAGCGGCTGAGACGGGAAGACGACGTGATGTCCAGGTGAGGCGGGGTCCAGGCAGGCAGGGAAGGGGCCACCCTGAGGGGGAGGGTAACGTGGCAGAGAGAAGGGGGCCGGGGGAGCCCTGGGCTGGGCGAGAGAGTGACCCATCACCGCCCTGCCCAGCTCAGCTGCCTGGCCAACCTGGCCGCGCTGCACAGCCTCCAGGACGACTTTGAGCTCCACCCGCCGGACCTGCTGCTTTTCTACAAGTGAGTGCCCGCTCCCGGCCCGAAACCTGGGCGGCACAGGCTGAGCGTGCCTCCTTTGGAGTCCCGGGGACCCCAGCTCCCCAGGGATATCCGGGCCGCCCCAGAGCACCGTTGGCCGGTCTCCACCCTCCCGACAGCCCCTCAACCCTCCCGCAGCCTGACACAGGTGAGGGAAGCCGACTGCCGGGCCTTCATCCACCGTGCCGCCCAGGGGGACACGGAGCTGCTGGCCAACCTGCCGGACCAGAGGGCCGCCCTGCAGCGTGTAGCCTTGGCCTGCCTGGTAGGCACCGCGGGCGGGCCCCGGGTGGGCCGGGTGGACCAGAAGTGGGGCCAGGTTCACGCTGACCTGCCGTCCCGTAGGGAGGACCCCGCTTGCGGCTCAGCGCCTCTGACCTGCTGCTCCTCGGGGTCCTGGTGTGCGACATGGACGCGTCCAGCATCGTGGCCGCGGACCCCCGTGTGCTGCAGAATCTGCAGCGCTGCCATCGGCTGACCGCCCCCCAGCAAGCCGCCCTCAACACGCTGCTGGCCAGTGGGGAGACCACGCTTGGGTAGGCAGGGCTGGAACTCTCTGCCCAGGCCTCCCCCTCCGGAGACCGCCAGTGTGTACCGCTCTGCCGACCTTTGACCTCTCGCCCCGGCTCACAGCCCCACTGACCCCGCAGCCTGGGACACACCGGCTTAGGGGTGCTGCCCCCACCCTCCGAACCCCACAGTCCCCTGCCCCCACACCCGGAGTGGGAGAGTCTCTCCCGAGCAGGGTGTCCCCCGCAGGGCAGGCCCCAGAAAGTGGGTGCTGGGAGAGGGGCAGGCAGCCTCCAGGCCCCGGGGCAGTGCTCCCGACCCTGACACAGTGCCCCCCTTCCCACATGCCAGGCCTCCGGGTTCCTGGAACCTAGAGGGGCTGCGGGCTCTGGGACCCCTGGCCACCTACATCAGGTCCAGCCTGTGGATGCAGGTGCAGCAGGTAGGGTGCTCTGGAGTGGGGGGCTGTCCAGCTGGCTGTGGACAAGGGGAGGGGCGTCCGGCCGGCCTTCCAACAGCCACTCTGCTGGGGACTGGTGTCCCCAGTCCCTCCCTGCCCCAGGGTTTCCATCCGTGGGGCGGGAGGAGGAACCAGGGGCCCCTGCCAGCCCCTCACCAGGGTATGGAGTCTGTATGCCCGCTCTGCCAGGCTGTGGGCCTGGACTTCTTCGGCAGCACGGTGGCCACATACCGAGCTGGGCGGCTTAGCCAGCAGGACGCCAGGCGCTTCGTCACTGGCTTTCTGAAGGCCAAGGCTGAGTCGGTGTCCTCTCGGCCCAAGCGGGGCACAGGTCAGTGTGGCCACTGTGGCCCGGGGATGCTCTGTCTCCTCCGCTTTGGGCTCCTAACCCTAGGGCGGGCTCACCCAACATGTGGCATGCTGGCCTGGGCGTGGGCCTGGGCGTGGCATCCAGCCGAGGGGTGCGGGGGGGTGGGGGGGCATCGGGGTTCGTTAGAGCCCAGTGGAGCTGAACTGTAAGGTCGGGCCTGGGTTGGGAGTCGAGGTCAAACTCAATCTGGTCTGGACAGAGTTTTCTTGGCTAGAGGTCAAGCTTGGGGAGGGAGTCAAGGGCAGGCCAAATTCAGGAGTGAGGTGGGTGGGGCCCCAGGTCAGCACAGGTCAGCTCAAAACCCCCAACCCACCCCCAGCCACAGGGAGACCCTGCCTCCGCGGGGACATCACGGCGGCCACGCTGCGCGACGACCTCTTTCTGGTGCACTATGACTGCATGCAGCTGGAGTCCTGCCTGGGGAGCCACGTGCTCAAAGCCAACCTGGACCCCCTGCTGCAGCACCCGCTGCCGGCCGAGTGCCAGCGCGTCGTCAAGGCCAAGCTGGCTCGGGTGCGCCGCGGACCAGCTGCGGGAAGAGGTGGGCGGGCGCCGGGCGGTGTGGCCTGACCCCCCCACCCCCACCCCAGGTCTACCCGCGCGGGGTCCCCGAGGAGCAGCTGCCGCTCATCGCCTCGCTGGTCTACCTCTACTCCCGCTCCGAGATCGGCCAGTGGAACGTCACGTCCAGAGACACCGTCGTGGCCCTGCTGGCCTCAGATGTGGCCCTGGAGAACCAGACTGAGGTGAGGGCGGTGCGGGGGGCGTGGGGGTGGGGGGCGCCGACCCCGGCCCCGCTGACCCGGCCTCGCCTCCAGGCTGTGCTACAGAAGTACCTGGACCACAACGGCACCCTCACCGGCGCCCTGCTCGTGGCCATCGGGGGCTCCCGCCTCTGCTGGATGAGTGCCAGGCAGATCCAGGCCATCAGGCCCTCGGAGTTCCGGTGAGCAGGCCCAGTGACCGCCCCCTCACCGCCCCTCAGCCAAGGAGGGTGGGGCTCGGCCAGGCCACCTAAGGCTGTTAGTTTTCTATGGCTGCACAACAGAGTGCCATTAACCCAGCCTTTTGACACCTCTCGCTGTCTGGAAACCGGAAGTCTGAGATCAAGGCGTCACAGGACCAGCTGCCTCTGAGGCCTGCAGGGGATGTTCCTGCTTCTGGGGCTGCCCGAACCCCTTGGCCTTCCCGGGCTGGCGGACGCCTCGCCCCGGCCTCGGCCTCCGTGGTCACGCGGCCTCGCACTCTGTCTGCATACAGATCTCCTTCTTGCATCCAGTTGTTAGACCTTGGGCCACGCTAATTCAGCGTGGGGTCATGTTAGAATAGACCTACAGATAGCGACCACGACTCCATTTTCAAACAAGACCACCTTCTGAGGCTGGGGCAGGTGCGAGTTTGGGGAGGGACGCTATTAGGCACAGTACAGAGGGCGAGAGGAAAGCTGTGGAGGGGAGCGGCCAGGAGCGTGAGGGGCTCCCGGCCTGCCCAGCAGCCTCCTCCTCCCCCAGGCTGGCCGGGGCCCTGGATATCTCCTCCTGCCCTCAGAGCCGGAAAGACGTGCTCTACGCCAAGGCCCGCGAGGCCTTCGGCAGCACCAGGACCACGGCTGCGTATTACCGCTTCATGCGTCCTTACCTTGGTGAGACCCTGCCCTGTGTGCAGCAGCCCGTCCCCAGAAGCCCGCCGCCCCTCTCCCCTCACCACTGCCCGGCCCCCAGGAGGTGCCCCCGTGGAGGAGCTGCGGCATCTGGTCCAGGCGAACGTCTCCATGGACATCGACACGTTCACCAATCTGAACCCCCGTGTGCTGCAGGTGGGCCCTGAGGGCTGCCCGCCCAGGGGAGGCCCGAGCGCCCCAAAGTCAGAGGGATGCAGACCGCGTGAACCCCAGCTCACTGCTGCCAGGCCTCACCCCTGTGCTCACTCCTCAGTCAAGCACTGCCCTGCCAGGTCTGCCCTTGGCCCCAAAGCTGGCCTCTGCGGGACCCTCCGGACCCCCCCACCACGGCCCCCTCCCTTCCCTCGCAGAGCCTGAGTGTCGGCAATGTGACGACACTGCTGGGCCAGAACGTGGGGGACCTACAGAAGGCACGGAGCCACCCGACCATCAGCTCTTGGCTGCGCAGCCTCAACAGGTCGGCCCTTGGCGAGCTGGGCCTAGACACGGACCCTGCCGGCCTCAGCGGCCCAGGCCGCTCCACCACTGTCACCCCCAACACCACGCCCCGGGGGCCCTACCCAGCCCCCACGTCAGGCCTTCTCAGGCACAGCGCCCCCGCCTCCGGTATGCTCCCAACCCGCCCTCGCCTCTGGTGGGCCTTCCCCACCCGGCCCGGTCGGTCTGCCCAGCGCCTCTGTGGACCCCCGACCTCACACTCTGTCGGCCACTCTTTCTGTTTGTCTCCCTGGGTGGCATCTGGGTGACACCAGCCTCACTCTTCACTGGCGGCTGAGTTATTGGAGGACAAAATCCCCTCCTCCAAAACCTGCTGAGTGCCAGAAAGTGGGGGGTGGGGGG